AAACCAATGGGAAAACACCACTGCTGTCACTGAATGATTTAAAATCCTGCACAAATCAAGCAGCAGGTTAATTTATTTTGACACTGAAGAATTTTACCCATCTATCACAAAAAAAAAAAAGACGAGAGCATCAATGATGCAATAGCCCACATGACAATAGCTGGCAATGTTTATGTGCTGTCGGTGGGTGGTGGGTGCAGGTTGTGTGGAACGTTGTTAGGCCTACGTGTATTGAGCGTAAAAAACGAAATGTGGTTGTTGTTGTAGTGGTTGTTATATACGTAACTTTGTGAAATATTTTGTACAGTAATTATGAAGATATATATGTAGCGGTTTATGATTTAAGTAGACATTTTGGTGGGTGAATAGAATTTGTTGCATAGAAGTATTTCATTGTGGTCCTCTAATAAAGACATTTTCAGAAGGCCCATTATAATTACATCATGCAGCTTTTACTGTGATGTTTTTTAAATTATAGAACTAATATTTTTACTTTTGTATGTATTTGTATTATATCCAAACACATTAGGAACTGTCATGTTTATATATATATATATATATATATTCTCTTATACACATCTAGATGTGTATAAGAGACAGGGATTCAGTTGTTCAAATTAACTGTCAGCTTTCAGAAGGAGAAACCAAACTTCTATCCCAAGGACTCAAATTTTGCCCAAAACCGAGGCAGGCTGTTTTTTATATTTATATATTTTTTATATATTTATATATATTTATATTTATATATATATATTTATATACATATTATATATATGTATTTATATATATAGATAATATATATGTATTTATATATATAGATTATATATATGTATTTATATATATAGATAATATATATATAGGTAAATAATATATATATATATAGATAATATATATATATAATATTTATATATATTTATATATAGATAATATATATATAGATTATATATACATATATATTGCATTATATTTGTAAACATCTATCTATATATACATTATATATACATTATATATATAATGTATATATATATATAGATGTTTACAAATATAATGCAATTGATGTAATGTTATTTCCAGTTGTACTAATGTTGCACTGAACTGGCACAAGGTCTATCCATTACTGGGCTATCCATCAACTGGTAATTCCATGGTTGGAATGGAGTGTAATCCATTGAAAATGAAAGGCACTTTAATCATAAACTATTAGACCAGGAACCCAAGGGTGTCAGCATAGCTGGAAAGTTAACCAATTTGTGTGTATATAGTAATGTTCTATGTGCCTGTCTATGTAGAAAAATTCGGCATCTGCCGGTCCCATTGTGGTGGGTGTGGTCAGGAGGGGCATAAAAAAGGCCCCAAAAATTGAGCTAGATCAACTTGTGAATTAACCCAATGGAACCTATCAGAATATATTCGGCATAGTTCAAGATATCATGTATGGTCAATGCCAGACATTTCCAATGGTGGGGGTGGCTGCCAGACGCAAGAAATCGGTACCCCAAAATTAAGCTAGATCAGCTTGTGAGTTAACCCGATTAAAGCTACTAGAAAATGTTCGGCATAGTACCAGGTATCAGAAATGGCCACTGCAAGACATTTTTAATGGTGGGGTGTACCTGCCAGACACCCCCTTATAGTCCGCCCCCGAAAATTGACCTAGATCAGCTTGTGAGTTAACCCGATAAAACCTACTGGAAAATGTTCGGCATAGTACCATGTATCAGGAATGGCCACCACCAGACATATTTGATAGTGGGGTGTACCTGCCAGACACCCCTTCATACCCCGCCCCGAAAATCGACCTAGATCAGCTTGTGAGTTAACTTAATGTAACCTACTGGAAAATATTTGGCATAGTACCAGGTATCATGATTGGCCACTGCCAGACATTTTTAGTGGTAGTGTGCACCCGCCAATTTTTTTTTCCGTACGAAACATTTGCATGAAACTCCACTCGGGCCGTCTCGGATTGATTCGACTACGAACAAGAGCAGGCACTTCGCAATGTCGTGACGCTCGAGTATTCTATCAGCTTTACTGTACTGTTTTTATTTACCTACGGCAGGCCTATAAAATCTTACCGATTTATGGGATTTCTATAGTAGTACCAGTGGTAAATAGGTACATCTATCAAAGGCTAGAGCAAAAGAAGCTAAATATTGGGCCTAGTGGAACGGCCTAGTTCCAAGCTGAGTTAGGTCCTACCTGCTAGCCCCCCCCCCCGACTAGGCCCCTAGACCACCTTCCGCTAGACTAGACCCCTTTCGCATGCCATTGACTGAAATTTTGAACAAAATTTAAAACATGAATGGGACAGTGAGTAAAAAAATATTACATAATAATAAATTAAATATATCACTCAGGCATTAATGAACTTGGCCTTCGCCTTGTAATGTAATTAATATTAAATAATAATAACAATAATAATAATATTAATAACAATAATATTAACAATTATAATAATTATAAATAACCATATATAATTTCGCCATTAATTAACTTAGCCTAAGCTTTGTAATCAAGAAGCACCTACAGTATACTATATTAGGCCTATAATCCCTGCCTTCATTTTTAGTAATTCTAGGCGGAAGCAGGTCAACTCGGCCCCAAGTCAAACACTGCCCCATGTCAACTCGACCCCAAGTCAACTCGGCCCCATGTCAACCAACCCCAATTCAACTTGGCCCCAAGTATATATTTTTACATTATTAGTTATTTTATATACCTTTGTATAATTTTTATTAATATCATTTTAATATTACTTTTATTAATGCAGTTTTAATTATTGTAAGTGCATGTAAATGAAACGAAATAACAAAGGCAACGATTTAAAAACACTTTAATTTTGGCTTTGCATTCAAATCTCTTGGTAAATATTCAATAAATGCCGAGTTGACTTGGAGCCGAGTTGACATGTGGCCGAGTTGACTTGGGGCCGAGTTGACTCGAATTCGTCATGACATAGGTTAAACAATTATCCAAAACCGCGGCCAACTAAAAAATAAAAATGTGCACAGTATGTAACTCAAATTCAAATAGGGCCTAACACTTGTTATTATTCGTGCAGTGAAATCAAGTAATACATATGTCGTTTTAAACGACCCATTATTTTAGAATGGTAATGTGTTTTTTTTCCAAAATCAGATAGCGAGCAGCAATCCTGTATCTCAGAAGTTTTGTAGACGTTTATCTTTGGTTGATGACCTTTTGACATCCAGAATTGCGATTTTCGAGTCGAGTCAGTCGAGACAACCCGAGTGGAGTTTCATGCAAATGTTTCGTACGGGTAAAAAATCGCGGCCAGCCTGTATTACAGTACATTGACACGAAATGTACATTGTTTTTCTCTCAGAGAGAGAGAGAGAGACCACCCACCCTTGCAAGCACCGCAAAACGGCTCATTTTTCGCTACCAACTTGACTCGTGCAGACGCATTTATTAGCAGCAAAGCTTACAATTCTAAGCTGTGATTGGTTGATAAACACAATGTGGAATATACAGGCGATTTGCAATCTGATCAATGGCGAACACGCTTTCATAAGAAACCCACCTTAGTTAAGAGATATGATATAAAAACATACTTTTTTCACATATTTCCCGACAATATTTTCGCAAAAATTCTTCATACTTTAAATTCCCCAGGCCTTATCTTCCATATTATTGCAAGATCGGCCTAATCGCGTCACAAACGAAGGAAGAGATAGAAAAACAAATGACTTCAAAATTCGCTCAGAATCATCATATAAGCCCTCATTCTCAGAGAGTGGGCTAAAAACGTAACAAATGCAATCCAGTACACACAAAATCACACCAGAACCCCTGAAGACAAAGTAGATAATTATTATTATGTACCCACAAAACGGTAACAATTCAACATGGATCAAGAAATATTGATACGACCGGATTGAATTTTATACGGGAAGTTATACGACGGGCCAAAAATACGAAACACTTTCTCTCCTCATCTCTCCTAAGCTTCGACCAGGCAATGCGACAAGATTACAACTTTTTATCCATCTGCCATGCATTGGATACTTTAAGTATTACAACAAACCAAACAATCAACTGCTATACGACAACAGCAAACCTAACCATCCTTCGTCCATCCTGAAATAAATTCCCTCATTTATTAACAGACGTATGTCTAACATATCGGATTTCAGCGAATCATTTCATAAGACCGCCCCTACTACCAAAAACAGTGGATTTCAGCAAAAACAAGGAATACGAACTTTCACAATCCGACAAAATCCCAAAAGCGGAAAGAAATCGACAAATTACTTGTACGGTGTGTCGGTGTGTATTCCTTATACAAAATGCATTCATGCAACCATCAAAAGCAATGAAAAACAAATACAGTATATATTGCTAATAGTCATAATTGATGACAAATCAAATTGTCAAATGATACCATTCATGTTCGATCTCTCATGTAGACATTACTTATATAAAGTACATTGGCAACAGATAATTTTTTAAAGATAATTTTAGACCGTTGTAAGTTTTACGTAAAATATGTGGGATTTTGTCCAACAAAAAATTCTATAATTTGGGTCCACTTATGTGTAGCAAGTGCTAACTACAAGTCAGTCTTGCAAATGGAACATGCATTTTATTTTTGTTTCTGGGATTGTGGGAAATATTATTATACTTATAGAAAATACTACATGTTCATGTGGCAAACACGTAATTTGCCACATTTGACGTTTGACATGAATTGTATGACATTATGTTTGTAAATGTCACGAATATTGAGTATTTTTAATTTGTTAAATAATGGTTCAGATGCCGGTCTAGTGTTTGAGAATGTTATAACTCCAGCAGCTTTTTTCAGAAGTTTCCAAATGGTTTCCTTTATACTTTTGTAGGTGTTCCCCCAGATAATATTCCCATATTGGAGATAGGGTAAAATCAAAGAATTAAAATACAGCAACACATGACGATGATGTTATATTGATACAAGTGCTTCTTTAAGTTAGGCTATGTTTCATTTCTAATTGAAGAAACTTGCGATATTGACTGCTTGAACGGCGGAGTCTGTGCCTCGGATCACGGAATTGAGGACTGTCAGTGTATGTCTGGTTTTGTTGGACCAACATGCAATACGTGTAAGTTTTTACAGAGATAAATGTGTATTTACCTATTGAGCTAAATATAATGGTAAGCCTAGTGTGCCGAATATGGTTAAAAATGTATAGAACATGGTCACTTTTTAAAAAGACTGTACAGTATGTATTGTGTTAGATTCAGTTAAATGTTAAAGTTTTTATAATTTAAAATTATAATTCTATAATTTTGTTGGAGTGCACCAGCAGTAATTATCACAAAATACTGAGAAAACGTATAGCCATACTAGTTTAGGTGTCGAAAATTTCAAAAAGCAAAAAAAAAATCATGAAGTTGAAGAATAATATATGATATTATTTAAAATATTAAATCAAAGATTTTGTGTAGTTATTTTAACATAAAACTATTTTTGAAGGCTGGTTCGACTCCATATGAGTGACATTTGTAAAGTACATGGAAAAAAATCAACTGAAAAGTTCATACTTAATTCATTAGATATAAGCTGAGACAACTTGTCTCAGATATAAGATAGGAATAAGAATAACTCACTGCCAAAAAATGCTAGTAGGCCTAGAGGAAAACGTAGAATATTTTCAACTATTTAAGTTACAATTATTATTTGCGTTATTCCAACCAATGTGACTACTGCAGTTATTTTTATTTTTTCTTCTATAATTTTTAGCGCAAACCCAATGTGATTTCGAAGATCCATACATTTGTTACTTTGTACAAGATGAAACGGATGATTTTGATTGGATAAGAACGTCTGGATCAACACCCACATCTGGTACTGGTCCTGAGTATGACCACACTTACGGAACATTACAAGGTATTAAAAAGCTGACATGAATTTATATTTTCTAAATTAAATTAAATTTCTAATGAAAATATTTAAAACTACAAACAAAATATATAGAATACACATCAAATAGATCTAAAAAAAATCTCTATTACACCGGAACATTTATTTTCTCATTTGCTTACAGGTTCCTACATGTACATCGAAACTTCATATCCGCGATACAACAATGAAACCGCTCGTCTTTGGACATTGCCATATCCTGCAACAAACGGCACATGCGTTAAGTGGTTCTACCACATGTACGGGGCCACAGTGAACACACTGAATGTATACATAGTCGATACAACAGGTACTGTTGGTGTACCTGCGTGGACAAATACAAACAACCAAGAAAACCTTTGGCGACTTGGAAAAATCTCAGTTGAAACAATGAGTGCCTTCCAGATAGTGTTTGAAGGAATTGTAGGAAGGAGTGATACAGGTGATATTGCTTTAGATGACGTCATGATCATTGATGGAGCATGTTTGAAAAACGGTAAAATACACCTTTTACCACCTATGACATTAGAAAGCCCTCCTAGAAAAATATATTATCAAATTTCGATCCTGGCCTGGCAAAGATGATTAACATCTTTTCAGCGTATTGTTCACATTCTTTGATAGCTTCCAAGTTAAATGGTGAGTGAATTTAGTCGCACTATTCGGGTTGTCAAATGTATAGTCAGGTTTATTGTATTGATTTTGGAACGTTTTGTCCGGGACCTGCATGCATATAAAGTCGGCGTGCCTTTGACCAATGATGTTCTGACCTTCATATTTCTTTTTATTTTAGATACACTCCGTTTTCAAAGCGGCGCTTTCTATTTACTACTAAACTCTACTTTTCTGTAATACAATTATTTAAAAACGTCGTTTCAAGTTCATTGCAAAATTCAAAATCATTTGGATAGGTTGCATTACATTCCCGTAAAGGTGTGTATGAACGGACGTATTTCGGCAATAATGACATTTCGATCTGTTAGCTGGCCTTAGACTCAAATAAATTCTTTGTTCTTATGCAAATGTTTATTTTCTTTTACAGCGACCAAACATAGCTTAACCATAAACTCGTAACCGTAGAGCACAGGCTTAGGGAGGCTAATAAATTCAGTTGCAAAATCAAACATTATTTTTTTAAATACATCTCACAGACATTGCGGTAAATCAAAATGAGAACAGCATAACATTGTCTGAATGAGAAGCAGAACTTGTAGTGGGGTTGAAAGGCAGTTTTACAGGGACAGTTTATTATCTGGTGATGGGTGTTGTACACGCCATCAACTTTTTGGATTAATTTGTCCACAATCAAACAAATTGACAAATGAATAGATATATTTAATTGTTTCCTAGATTTTGATGGCCTTGCAGGTTGTAGGTTCGTATCACGACAGATATTTGCTTTCATGTTACATTAAATATTAAATTTTCATGTTTGATACAATTATAATCAAGTTCTTATTCGAGAAATTATATATATATAT